CAACTTGCCTCGACCTCCAAGATTTTTAACTTCTTTTTTTAAATTACGCAGTCTCGTTCCAAGCCTTTTTTGTACATGTCCAATACAGTCTTTCTTGGTAACAGCAAAATTACCATACGGCTTGGCATCTTGAATACTTTTGAATGTTTTGCTGTCACCATCTTCGACGTAATAGGCGTATCGAACGTTATACATGGACTCGGAACGCGAAAACATTTGCACGACTGCATCAGGCTCCATTTTCCCTGCACTTCCGCTATGATTTGCATTACAGGAGGGTTCGTGTAACTCATGCCATTCATCATACTCAGCGGTGCCCTCATTTTTCTGCCAATATTCACACTCTTTGCAGTACTTCGATTTCACACAAATATCTATAACTTTTCCTAAAAACCAACCAATCAAACTTGCGAAGCCATAGAGAGAAGAGAAACCGCGCTTTCTCCACGAGCCGTCTCCCGACACTGTTAGTCCCTCAAGCTGACCTTTTTCAATAGAAATTTTCTTTTCCTCCTCGGCAGCTTTCCGTAAGACTTTTGATTTTACAGCGTCCGTTGCTACAGCTATACTTTGCATCATCATACGACTTTTGAAAGACCGGTTTTGGGAGGCACATAAAGGCGCAAAATTTACTTATTCCTTGAATTCCGATACCAATAAGTCTCATAGCCAAAGTGAGCCGTCTATTTACATCGTAAGCATGACCATTAATTAAGGGGCTACTGTCAATAGTTGCATTCCCGCACTTTTCACACACAATAACAAGCTTGAATCCAAGGCCACGTTTACACGACTCCAAAAAAGTCACACTACTTCCGCATTTTTTACATGCTAGAATTTGCGACAACATGCTAAAAACAGCAAGAAAATTGATGATTCAATAGCCAAATGCAGCATCCACTTCAGTATCATTTTCTGCTGTCGAAGATTTCATTTTTTTTGCTAATCTAGAAACACCTTCAGTGTCGCCTTCGAAGCTGTGACGGTTAGGCGGCTTCCTATTGGCGATTCTGCTCCGACTGGCACGAGTAGAGGACCCTCTCGTCCCTTTTTTATACACTTTCTCACTCATTTTTATAGAAAACAATAAAATAAATACTACCGTAACGTTTATGAGCGCGCAACTCGGAGTAGCACGTGGAACTGTTTACTGCGTGTTTATTCGCAGTCTAACGGTTATTGTAGCGTCCAATATGGCTTCTCTGAGATTTATTAACGCCATCTATATGTATTTTGAAGAAATTAAATTGATTTGTACAGACAAAAATTACCAACAAGCTATAATACGTTTAAAATGCCGCGCGCAGGCTGCACAAAAAGCAGAATAAATATTCGTAATCTTGGCAATAATTTTGTGACATATTGAATTATTACATACGCTGAGGTAGAGGTTGTAAGATGTTTTGTTACATATATCAAGGTTATATGTATATAAGATCACATTTTCCAATTAATTCTGCTTTTTGTGCAGCCATGCGCAGCTCAACTTAATTCGCTTGTCGCGTACGAGAAATGTTCAACTTCACCCAACTTTTGCTACAACGTCGCAATGCTTGAAAAAATTATATATATGTTTATTGGACTGTGTTCGGAAATTTATTCGGGTGCACCCATGTATTATTTATCCTCGTTTAACATTTGGTGAACAACAAGGAGAAAATGATACATAGATGCACTTGAGTGAAGGCAATCTGGATGTCGCGCGTCGCGTATCGCGTGTCGCGCATCGCGCTGGTGTGCAAGAGCTATTACTCCGTGTATTGTAGACGATGCCTAAAGGGTCCTCTACATAGAAGTCGTAGATGGTCGTGGAGTCTTAAGTCGTAGGAAACCAACCAATCACAATCAAATATAAGGAGAATACTCGATTGGAATTGGTCAGTTTCCTACGACGTAAGACTCCACGACCATCTACGACTTCTATGTAGAGGACCCTTTAATAATTGCAAAGTTGTGATTGGTCGCGCTGTTCCGTTCCGCTATAAACTTCCGCTCCATCGAACGACCTTTGACTATATACCTCTGGACTGCTAACGACAGCCATTACTGGAATCCAAGATCTCAGAGCCATCAGGTCCGGAGGTTGGCCAAATCAAGAACTAACTAGCTGCATTTCGAATAAGAATCGGTACAATC